CCTATTTCACTTGATAAAAACTATTGATATAGCAGTAATTATGAGGCCAAACAAGATAATAAACATATCATAGTCTATGATTGCTCTAAAATCACAGGCAATGAAAGATTATAATTGAAAAAAATTATTATAATGAATCATTTTTTTTTCACTCTTTATCCAAATAATGGTTTTTAGAATTCCTTTCCTTTTCTTTCTTTTATTAATTTTAATTATCCAAATAATGATTACATATATCTTTTACTTTCCTTTAAAACACTTTCTTTTTCATTTTTTTCCTTTTCTTTATTAATATTTATTTAAATATAACGTAAGTTCAATGCTAATTTTAATCTATGGCAAGCATCAAATTGTTGAACGACATACGCGAAAAGTTTATAAATGTCTGTATTTCCTAGGCTTTAAGAAAATACACAAGAAGAAGATGACCTTGAAAAGAGCCAATCAAAACAATTAATTGAAGAATCATCAAAAGAAGAAAACGAGTCTGTTGTTCAAGATTTTGAAGAAGAAAGGTTATTTTAAGAAGTTAAGCTAAGTGTATAACAGCCGATTATGATGTTAAGAACGATGATGACGAGGTCACCAACGTCTAGAAAATTGATAAGCATGATGAATGTGTGAAAACGTGAAAGTTGATTAGGATCCAACAAATTAATGGCAATTGGAAATGTGGTACTTGCCAAAACTAGAGATAGAACGGTAAGAAAACCAAGAAGGAAAAAAGAAGAAACCACCTTTCACACAATGCAGATGTTCAATGACGAGAATCTCGACGTGTGATTGGTTAAACAAGCAACGATGGATTATTAAGAGATAATGATGGTAAGGAATTTTAAAAAGAGGAAAAAATGGGAATTACAAAAGCCAACGTCAAGAGAGAGTAGTAATTGAGGGAGAGTGTTGAAAAAAAATCACCAACTCTCTCTCTAGATTGTTCCCTCTCTATCTAGATTTCTTTCATATATCTTTGCATTTCTAGAATTATTTTCCTTGTTAAACTAGAATCCTCCGTGTTAGCCATCGCACCAACTTAAAACCAATAAAAATAGATAGTTTGTGGTGCTTTATAAGTGGTGATGTCGAGTAGAAAGAAAGTGAAGATGAGAAAATGAGAGAATGAAGAAGATAGAAATGAATTAAGAGAAAAATTAGAATTTTTGTGTGCGGACAAAATTGGTGTAATTATGTTAATAGTAAAGTGAAAAATATTTGTGTGAGATTGTATTCATTGTAAGGTTGTGAATCCACCAATTATATTTGTTGTTTGTTTATACTAATAAAAGAGTGTTCTACCAAAGTACAGTAGTATCCTCTGAGACAAAGTTACTATATCAAGAAACTGCAATTATCACGAGAGCAAAAATTAACATAAAATGTGCTTACTCAGCAACTGCAATAGGCTTTCATTACCTCTCATATGCAGAATTTGACAAGCATGCTTTGGAGGAACTGAAGGCGTAGTACGCTTGTCGATCCATGGATAGTTGACCTCGTAAGAATTAATATCTAAGTTTGGTGATATCAAGAACATCACGAACCTTAATCTTTACCAGCTTCAGGTTATGATCATGAAAGAAAAAGAAAGAATCTAACAAGTTGGGATCTTTGATATCTAATTGGTTTTGATTAACCTCCCTCCTGGCTTCCCAAAGACGACGGATATTGGAATAATGTGCATAGAAAATAGGGTCTCGTTCTGCTACATAAAATCCATCCACATCCTCTCTTCCGAGACACAAATATTTTTCACCGTAATAGTCTAGGTCAACCATCTGTGGTGGAAAATGTGAAAATCTTGTTAAGTTTGGGCTACAGATTTAGACTTTGCAGCTTTGTCTATGCTATGATCGCGGATAATGGAAGACCAGCCTACTAGCTTGTCAATGCTAATGTCAACTGCCATACTGGTTAGCTCCATGGAGAGATCAAAATTAAGGAGTACTTGTTAATTGTAACACTTCAAAAGCATCAAAATAGGAAAAACACAAAAAGAAAGATTGACTGGTTGGCCCGTATGGTTGTGCATTTTTTTAATTTAAAAAAAATGTAAAACATGTTTGTTGACACCCAAAAAAATTGCAATCTGGCCTCACACTATTTTGTAATGGATGTAGTAAAATTTACAAGTTATTATGAACATATTTTCATTTCAAACCTAATTAATAACTTGATTATGATATTTTTTCGTCTTTTATTTCAAGCATTATTACACTAGATTTTTAACTCGTTAAATTAAGAATTTGATAATTAAAATTAAAAAAATTTTATTTCACTTTAATTCTCAAATGTTTTTCAAAATATGTTAATATTAATATTTTATTTTTTAAATATTTTAATAATATTTTTGAAAAAAACAAGCTTATTGAGCCTTACGAACCAGGTCAGACCTTGTTAATGATTTCTAAGTCCAACTAGACTTGGCCGGCGTAAGGAAGAGTTTGCTGTCATGTTTGTGGCAAAGGAGGAAGCATCTGCTTTTCGATTGTGACTTTAGCAAAGCTGTGTTGGGGCGGGGTGTGCTAGGGATGGGTGTTAGAAAATTTAAGAAAACAGAAATGGTAAGAAGAAAATATGATTTTGAGGAATGAAAAATATTATTTTAAAGGTAATTATGCTTATAGGATATAATAAAGTTTTAAAATTTTTTAAATTAGATATAGTGAAATTGATCAGGTAGAAAGATCTATTTATAATAAATGAACAATCACCAATCAAACCAATTTAAAAAGTCATGACATTATGTATAGTCATATTTTATTGTTTAAATAAACTTCATTTAAACAGTCATATTTTTTTTATTCAGATATATTTATTTGTACCATTATGTTTTTTATTGTTCAAACATATTTATTTAGAATCAGTAAGATTCTGAAATAAATAAAAAATAATAATAATAAAAGATTTAAAAATTAAATTTATTTGTCAAATAAGCCTAAGTGTTCTAAATGTCCAAGTGTCTATCTTTGACTTTTAAAATTATTTGACTTACTAAGAAAACTCATAACAAGCCCAAATGACTCGACCCATTATAACATTTAGCTCAATTATTTAAATAATATAAGTAATTTCTTTTAAATCACATATAAGTGATCTTTTTACTCAATGTATGATACACCACATTTTAAACTATCAACAATCTCTCATTAGTTTGGAATGTTGGTGCTTAATCTTTAACCTTTTACACAAATAAATATTATGAATATAAGAAGGTATTTTTTGATTTAAACCTTCAATTAGCGTATATACCTTAGAATTCTAACAAAGTTGATAGTGTCCGCAGATTAAACCTCAACTCCTAGTATTAAAATTAAATATATAACACACATAATACTTATGTAATATTCTGTCAAAGGTTGATAACCGCTTTAGCACTATTATGGCTATGTGCTTATCCTTATTCATAAACATTTACAAGAAAGTTTTCAATTTTCTTATTGAAATGGTACCACTTCTATATTTATATAAATGGAGTTTCTTGTTTATATCTCCATTGCTATAGACATTTAATTATAAACTCCATTAAGAGTTCAATCTCATCGTCCATTTATGCAATGGCTTACACTAGTATTTCAAATATTTAGAATGAGCTGAATAATGTTTACAGACACATAACAATAGCTTATTGTTACCTATTAAACTTTGCAATTACAGGTTACTAATTCAAAGTTAGGTTCCCATTATTAGTGTTTTAAAGAAATTTTAAACCCATTTCGCTTGTGGTGCTTCTTACCAAATTTCTAGGTAGCACTTGGGTAAGATACTTAAACATAATACTTCCAATAGCACTAGCATATTCAAGTTGTACAATTACATAACCTTGATTTTTTGATAATTTTATACTTATATCATATGGAGTATTGGCTTCTTTTATATTAAGATACTTAAACTTATTAAACAGGTTCTCAATACAATGACTTTTGATTTAGTACGAAACCCTTGTTATATCTCACAACTTTAATTTCCAAAATGGTATCAACTTCATTTAAATCTTTCATTTTGAAGTTAGAAATCAAATACCTTTTGATTTCATTTATGCCAATCATATTAGTAATAAAAATTAATATATCATCCACATAGAGACATTATAACTCCATATTCTTTAATGAATTTTGAGTAAATGCACTTATCTGCTCCATTATGTTTAAAACCATTGGCTAGTACAATGGGATCTGTACACTCTTATTCATAATTATTCTATAATGTAAAATTTTGGACTAATGTGTTTAAGCAGGCTTCTCATGCAGATTGTTTAAAAGTGCTACCAATGTTTTGTGGTTGTTATGGATCGAACAACAGATGCAGTAGTTTACATAATGGAATTTGCAGATTGCGGGGGGATGTAGGGGAGATTGCTAAACGCATGGTGGGAGAGTAGAGGGCCGTGACCGACATTCACAATGTCATACTAGCTGCGGGAGCTCAACTGCAACGACGGTCTCCTCCACCCATTGGGTTTGTTATATTAACTGTTGATGCCTCGGTGAATACGAGTTTGCTTGAGGCAGGATTGGGTTTGATGGCTCGTTACTCTAATAGAATTACTCTGATTGTTGCTTCATGAGTTGGTTTCGTTGATAGCTCTCTTTATGCGGAGGTAAAAGCCATATTATGGACTTTAGAGGTGTCTAGGGAGCAGGTGCTTCATCATATTATGATAAAAAGTGGTTGTCTGCTATTAAGGAGATTAATGTAAAAACAACTTTCTTTACGGGATGGTGGTATTCTGGTTGCTGCTAATTTATTACTTAGTTTTAGCATTTTAGGTTTGTTCCTTTTGTTTTTTTTCTTTTTTCTTTTGGAGAAAGGCATTTCATTGATCAAATTACAATCCTCACGTATGAATTGTGAAACTATTCTAGGGCGTTCCTCAAGCCAATACTCATCACTTATAGTTTGTAAATCAGAATGTGCTAGCTTATGAGCCAACATATTTCCAGACCTTAAAATATGCGGTCTATAACTTCCTTGAAACAAAGACAACCTCATCGTGACTTCTTCTATAATGATTCCGATAAGTGATTGGTCTTGTCTATTCCCTTAAACTTTTTAATTATAGCCAAGCTGTCTCCTTCTAGCTTTATTAGTGAAAGGCCCATTTCTTGTGCAAATGTCAAAGCTCGTACTATTACAATGGCTTCTGCTTGGAAAAGATCATTGACATTATACAATCGGATTGCAGCTGCTCCGAGAACTTCTCCATCCTGATCTCTAATTACTAAACCTATGCCATCTTTCTGTCTTTGGCTGTCAAGCTCACCATTGAAGTTTACCTTCAACATTCCAGCATTTGGCACTGTCCACGTTTGCAGTGAGGTCGAATGACTATTCTGCCTTGCTTGGGCATTGATGAAATCTGACTTGTAATTTTTTATGAAGACTGCAGTATCTTGTGGGCTTTTTTATGTTCTTCATGCAGTTCTGTATTTCTCTCTCCCCATAGAGCTGTCATAAATAGCTATAGCTAGCTTTGGCTGAATGAAATGCACGACTGTTGAACCCAGGTTGCGGCATCAGGCAAGTTATTCCATAACTCTTGGTTGAACTCCAGCTGCCTCCATACTCTATTAGCATGCAACCAATTTAAGCCAGCATGTAGGACCGATTCCTCTGTTTCTCCGCATCTGAAGCATATCGTAGAGACATTTAGCTTCCTTCTATGGAGATTCAACATAGATGATACAATTCCATGATAAAACCGACATACCAGCACTTTGACTTCAGGAGGAACTTCTGTCGCCCATAGTTTCCTCCATGCTGATCTGCTGCTACCATTCATTGTTTTGTGGCTTTACCTTCAAGCTGTTCTCTATTAAAAATAAGTTTATACCCACTTTTGACAGTGTAAACTCCTTTATTGTCATAATGCCAGACTAATACATCAGGACTTCCCAAACCAACTAATAGGCGTTGCACAAATGATTTCAGCTTCAGATTATACAAAGTTGTTATGGATCAGCTCTCTATTCTATTGCATTAATTGGTTATTAATTAGCTCAGCAACTAAAGCTATTTTCGTCCATCTCTACTCTTGGAGATTGTACCTTAAATGGGCTGGTTATAGGTAGCCATTTGTCTTTCCATATTTGGGTGCTCATTCCATTTCCCGCCATCCTTGCCTCTATGAAAGAAACCTGCGAGAAATATCTAGCTTTAAGAACCTGATATACCAGCATATTAGTTTTTTTTAGAAGTCTCCAGCCTTGTTTTCTTAGTAGAGCTTCGTTGAAGGTCTTCATATCCCAAAAACCTAGCCTAGCTTTGGATTTTGGTAAGCACATTTTCCTCTAATTTAACCAGTGAATGCCCTTCGTTCTGGCTCCTCAACTCCACCAATATTTACCTATGATACCATTTATCTTTTTGCACATAGTTCACAATAGCATGAAGCAGTTCATAGCGTAGGCTGGGATGGCTAAAAGTACTGACTTAATAAAAATTTCCTTCCCTCCTTGTGAAAGACATCGATTACTCCATCCCTGCATTTTGGGTTTAATCCTTTCTTTTATCTCTTTGAATGCTCTCGACCGGTTTCAACCCACCGTGAAAAGCAGTTTGAGATACTTCTCTGGATTCATTGTAGCTTGAATGCCAAACATGTCTTTTAATGATTTTTTTTGGTCCACTGCTAAAGAACAAATCTGATTTATCAAAGCCTTTCTCATATCTCTGCAGCATATTCTTCACCCATTCGCCCTTGCTTGCGTTCGCCTCGGTAAAATGTAAGCTATCATCTGCAATGAATAGGTGAGTGGCATAGGTCTATTTCGACTAGCTTAAACTCCATGAAGTAAGCATTCTCCTTGAGCTTTAACAAGTATAGTTGACAATTCTTCACTGCAAATCACAAATAAGTACAGGGATAGTGGGTCACCCTATCTGAGATCTCTTCTTGGCCAAAACTTGTCAGTAATATAGCCATTCACAATAATCAAATATGAAACAGATGTAATACATCACATAATGATAGATATCCATCTAGAATTAAACCCCATTCTCTCCATCATAGCTTTTAGAAAACTCCATTCCACCTTGTCATAAGCTTTACTAATGTTAAGCATTAAAGCAAAAAAAAAAAAAACCATTATGACCGACTCTTTTATTTTTCAAAGTATAAACGAGTTCATACGCCACTAGCACATTATCAGTGATAAGTCGACCGAGAACAAAGGCACTTTGAGTTTCACTAGTACAGGCTAGAAGGACAAGTTTAAGCTTTTTAGCTAACACTTTAGCAATAATTTTATATAACACATTACAAAGGCTAATTGGTCTAAATTAGGTGATGCTTTGTGGGTTTCTAGTCTTAGGGATCAAAGCAATGTTGGTATGGTTTACTTCACTTAAATATCCTTTCCCATTAAGAAAAGATAAAAAAAATTGCACAACATTAGTACCAATTATATGCTAATATTTCTAAAAAAGAAACATACCATCAGGCCCTGGGGCTTTTGTTGGGTGCATTTGTTTGATGGCTGTCGAGACCTTTTCAGCGGCGAATTTCGCTAGGAAGAGATCATTCATCTCGTCTGACATTAAATTTTCAACTACCTCAGGAATGTCATCCATGTGACCATGCCCTTAGGATTGAAACAACTGCTTGAAATAGCTAACGGTAATTTTTGTGATCATGTCTTTGTCTTCACACCATTCTCCACTGTTAGTTTTTAGCCCTCTAGTAGTGTTACACCTCCTTCACTGAGTAGCATTATTATGGACAAGGTCCGTTTATCGATCTCCCTCCCAAAGCCAATCAACCCGCAATCTCTGAGCCTAAAACGTCCCTTCTCTTTTTATTGCCAAATTCAGTTCATCTCGAACTACTCCCTTTTTCCAAATTCTTCTCAGTTCGCAGAGATCTTTTAATTTGCTAGAGTTCCTTCCTAAAAGATTTGATTTTCTCATGCATATCTTGGAAGCGTTCTTTATGCCATTTGATAAGTGTTTCACCAGCGCATGCCAGTATTCTCATAATTTGTTCATGGTTGCTTACGTTCTATGCGTTACTAACTTCTCTGTCACAATCATTTTCTTTCACCTATAGACTCTCAAAATAGAAATGCATTTGCGTCTTTTTGTTGCCTCTATTGCTATGCTTCCCTTCAATGTTCACTAGGATCGGATTATGATCGGAGATCGAGACCGCAAGATGGCTAACTATGTAGTGTGGAAACAGCTCCCTTCATTCTTGATTTGCTGCCCCTCTATCTAATCTCTCTCATACATTGTTAGAGGGACTATTGCCTCGTTCCCAAGGGTACCATAGTCAATTATAACCTAAGTCTTCAAGCCCAGCTTCATGCAATGCTTCATAAAAGTCTTTCATTTGGCTTTCATGTCTTAGGCATTGGCCCGACTTTTCATGAGACCGCATAATCTCATTGAAATCCCCTAAGCATAACCACGGTTTAGTAGATTGCAAGGCCAGGCTCCCTAAGACATTCCATGATTATCCTCTTTTTCTCACATTTGATTCACTGTAAAAACTTATAATTCTCCATTCACCTATTATTGCCCTTTCGTCAACGTCTATGTCAATGTGGTTTTTAGGGAAACTTGGTAGTTAGAGCTTAATTTCTTTTTTTCCAAAACATTGCTAATCCCCCACTTCTTCCATTTGAATCCACACTAAAACATAAGCTCATCCCATAACTCATTTTTATTTGATCTAGCATTATGGTATGTAGCTTTGTTTCATTGAAGAAAACTACATAAGAATCTTGTTTCTTCAGTAGTTGCTGATGCAATCAAACTGCTCGTGAGTTCCCAAGCCTGGAACATTTCCATGCTAAACACTTCATTGGTCTCGACGGGACTGGTAACCAATCTCCGTCTTTTCGAGAAAACATCTTGTACGATCTTTTGTCTCAGTTTTACTTTTTTTCGTTTGAGTTTCAGAAGCCATCGGCTTATTGTTGAGTTCATCTATTCCTTAATTAGACTTTCTCTTCCCTAAGCTCGTGTCTATGTTATTAAATTCAGTGCATGGATTTCTTGCCTTCCTTTTTAAACTGGTTTTTCCTCTTAGTGTTTTGGATATTGTTTCTTGATCAATGGCACTTTGTATTGTTGTCCTTCCAACAATAGTTTTATCTCTCTCACCCGTTAAAATTACCACCCTTGTGTCCGTATCGTTCTTTGCCATCCTTTTCATATCATCTACCAAAGGGTTTGAGTCCACCTTGCATGGCCATTTATTTGAGCCCCATTGTTGACATGACACCTATCTTTATAATTCCTTTGCTGTTTTTTTTTTCTCATGAAATTCTCTCCATTTCAATGTGATTTTGATCCACAATATTTGTTGTTAACCTTTCACTAATTATGGTAATCTTAACTGCTTCGGTTCCTTGCTTAAAGATCCTCTATGTGTTTGTTTCCTTTCGGATTTTGCTCTTCCTCCACCGTTCCTTTGTTTGTTGGGCTAAAAGCCTCCAATCCAATCACACCAGCGGAAGCGAAATTAAACAATAAATCAAACACACAAGAGACAATAATTTAATGTGGTTCGGTCTAATCAACCTATGTTCACGGATGAGAAACAAGATCCACTAGTTGTAGAGAATTACAAACATACATCAAATCATCAACCTCCCTCAACAATCAATACTCATAACACACTCTCAATCTCTTCTAGTCCTATGGAGTATTCTCAACCCAAACAAACACAAACCCAAACCCTTGTGCACCCTTTCAATAGAACCAAACACATACCCATATACTCTCATACATCATACCTATGTGGACCCTCTCAGTCTCCTCTAGTCCACTCACAAACAAATATATATACCCATAAGATGTAGAGCTCCAATACTCCTATGAGGTGTCTATCCCACAAAATCCTACAACTCTCTTACATCTTTTTCTCATACCTAACTCTATAGAGACTTTACCTATTTATAACCATACAAACTTGCCCATTAAGAATCCATCTCTTCTTAGAATTCTTCTCCTATAAGTCAAACTTGTCTATTAAGAATCCCTTTCCTTTTAGAATTCTTCTATTGCAAGTCAAACTTATCTATTAAGAATCTTCTTTCTCTTAGAATTCTTCTATTGCAAGTCAAACTTATCTATTAAGAATCTTCTTTCTCTTAGAATTCTTCTTTTGCAAGTTTTCTTGTCCATCAAGCAATATCTGACAAATTTCAAACAAATCTCTAACAAATCCCAAACAAATCTCTTATGGGATTTGAGTCAATATTTCCAACAATCTTCACCTTGACTCAAATTTCATCAAATCATTTGTCTTCATGCTAGACATGCTTGGCTCTACCTGCAATAAAAGCCTCACAATCATCTTCTTTTGTGTGTCTTCACGCTTCATACAAGCTGATCTTCAATCCTCAAAACTTGAACTCGAACTCTTCTCTTGAATCGAGTTCCTCTAAGCTTACTTCTTCCCATGTCTTAAACCAAGCTCTTCGCATATCTCGAACCATCGGTCTTCCCAGATCTCAAACATTCAGTTTTGATACCACTTGTTGGGGAACACCACAGCTCTGATACCATTTATTGGGCTAAAAGCCTCCAATCCAATCACACCAGTGAAAGCAAAATCAAACAATAAATCAAATACATAAGAGACAATAATTTAACGTGATTTGGTCTAATCAACCTACGTCCACGGATGAAAAACAATATCTACTAGTTGTAGAGAATTACAAACATACATCAAATTATCAACCTCATTCAACAATCAATACTCATAAGACACTATCAATCTCTTTTAGTCCTATGGAGTTTTCTCAACCCAAACAAACAAACCCTTGTGCACCC